GGGGGCGGCAGGGCGCCTATGGCAGCAGCAGCAGTAGTAGCAGCAGCAGCAGCAGCAGGGTTTAGGGTTTAGGGTTTAGGCATTGGATTTATCTTCAGGAGCAGCTAGAGTCGCTAAACGCCTGCATTGATGATCTCAAAAACAAAAACGACCAACTAGAAGCCGAGAAAGTCAAGTAAGCTCCAAACCCTAAATCCTAAACCCTAAACCCTAATTTCTATTCCCTAAACCCTAAACCCTTTTTTCTTGGGCAGAACACTGCTTGGCGTAGGGACGCTGCACCACTTCCACCGGCCTCCAGTCTGCAGAGCCGGGGATGAGGGTTTAGGGTCTAGGGTTTAGGGTTTACTTGTTCAGGATGAAGCAGGAGATGCAGCAGCTGCGGCGGCAGCAAGTTATGCAGGCCCGAGAGAGCTCGAAGGCGAAGGAAGCAGCAGAAGAAGCAAAAGCAGCAGCAGCAGCAGCAGCAGCTGAGAAGAAGGCGCTGCAGCAGCAGCTTAGGGACGCGCAGCAGCAGTTGGAAGAGCAGCAGCACGAGCAGCAGCAATTGCGAAAGCAGCTAGACAAGTTGCAGCGGCAGCACCAGCAGCAGCAGCAGCAGCTGCAGCAGCTGCAGCAGGAGCAAAGCAGACGCGACAGCAGCGACGCAGGGGAAACTGCAGGTCTTGCTGCTGCTGATGGTGAGGTCTTGAGTGACGCAGCAGCAGCAGCAGCAGCAGCAGATCCTGCTGCTGCAGAAGATGAAAAGGAGCAGCAGCTGCAGCAGCAGGAGCAGCAGCAGCAAGAGCAGCAGCAGCAGCAGGACAGCAGCGGAACTGGAGACCGCCCAGAGTTGTTCGGAAGCGGCAGCAGCGAGCCTGAGGATGCAGCAGCAGCAGCAGCAGCGGATGCTGCTGTTGCTGCAGCAGGACGCAGCAAAAAGAGCAGCAGCAAAAAGAGAAGGAGAGGAGCTGCCAAGGAGAGCAGCAGCAACTCAAAGAGAAGGAGACTAAAGAGACCAGCAGCAGCAGTAGCAGCAGCAGAGTCCGGCAGTGCAGAAAGCAACAGTGAGACAGAAAATGAGGAGACGCAGCAGCAGGAGCAGCAGGAGCAGCAGCAAGAACAGCAGCAAGAGCCTCAGCATGAGCAACAGCCGCAGGAGGAGCAAACGCAGCAGCAGGAAGAGCAGCAGCAGCAGGAAGAGCGGCAACAACAGCAAGATCGGCAGGAAGAGCAGCAACAGCAGGAAGAGCAGCAGCAAGAGCAGCAGCAGCAGCAAGAGCAGCAGCAGCTGCAAGACCACAAGGCAGACCTGCCTGCTGCCGACAGCGAAGCTAGCAGTGCCAAGTCCCCAGCAGCAGCAGCAGCAGCAGAAGAGCAGCAGCAAAGGGAACTGCCTGAAGCTGCAGCGAGCACTGATGCTGAACCTATGGACCAGCAGCAGCAGCAGCAGCAGCAGCAGGCAGAAGGGGCAAGCGGCGCAGCAGCAGATGCAGACTCCTCGGAAAGAGCGGAAACGGCAGCAGCAGCAACGCAGGCAGCAGCAGCAGCAGACGCAGCAGAAGCAGAAGCAGCAGACGCAACAGCAGCAGCAAAAGAAGCTGAAGCGGGAGCAGCAGCAGCAGTAGCCACAGAAGCATCAGCAGCAGCAGCAGTAGCCACAGAAGCATCAGCAGCAGCAGCAGCTGCAGAGTCAGCAGCAACGGAGGCGGCAACTGCAGCAGAAGATGCAGCAGCAGAATCCGCAGCAAAAGCAACAGAAGCAGCTGCAGAAGCAGAAGCAGCAACGGCAGCAACAGAGGCAACTGCAGTAGCAGAAGCTGCAGCAGCAGCAGAAGCAGCAGCAGAAAGCAGCAGTGAAGAAGAGATGCCCCTGGGTATGCTGGCAGCCAAGCGAGGCGCTGCTGCTGCTGCTGCTCCTGCTGCAGCAGCTGCTGCACCCGGAGCAGCAAGAGGGAGAAGGGGCAGGGGAGGCGGCGCAGCAAGAGCAGCAGCAGCAGCAGCAGCAGCAGCAGGCAGCAGCAAAGGGAAGGCAAAGGCAGCTCCTAAGGCAAGAGGAGGAAGGAAGAAGAATAAATGAGGGGAGGCGGCGCAGCAGCGGCAGCAGCAGCAGCAGCAAACAAAGCAGCAAAAAGAGAAAAGTGACAAAAAGGAAAAGGAAAATAAAAGAAGTTTAAAAGTAAAAATAAAATTAAAACAAAATGCCAACCCCACAGGGATGCCGAGGTGTACGTACACCTCAAGAGGGCGCTGACAAAATTATTATTTATTTGTCTTTAACCGCTCATTTAGGGTTTAGGGTTTAGGGTTTGAGC